GAGAAGGACCGGACGGCGTCGGGTGTGGGTGTTAAGGAGCGGTCGGGGCCGTCTAGCAAGGAGTCGTCAACAAAGCCTGCTGTCAAGCACGAAGAGCGCGAGCGCGAGCGGGAGAGGCCGGTGCAGAGCAAGCCCAAGCCCAAGCCTCAGCCCGTCGTCAAACGCGAGCCCTCGCCCGCCGACCTGGAAGAAGGCGAAGAGCCCTCCTCATCCTCGTCCTCCGACGCGCCGCACCCTACTAAATCGCGTATCACGCCCTCTGACCTCGGTCCGCTGCCCGCGACCGAAGACGCGCTCCGGTCGCGGTTGCGCACCGCGTACAAGCATTACTACGATGCCCACAGTCGGTGCGAGGAGCAGAAGGAGGCGATTGTGCGCGCGCTGGAGATGGGTGAGTATGAGGGCGGACAGGATGAGCGGGAAGGTGGCGTTGGTGTTGGTGGGGGTGCAGGAGGAGGGAGGGTGAGGGGGCAGAGGCTGTTGAGCGAGAAAGGCGTTGTGGAGATGTTTGGGGTTTATGAGGCGTGGAGGGACGAGGTGATTAGGATTCAGAAGGCCGCGGAGGGGCTGGGGGTGGATGTTAAGGAGGAGGGGGCTGTTTGAGGACTGCCTCGCGTCGGACGGGATGGATAGAGGGCGATTTGGACTCATGTATATTGATATTCTTTGTTCATGTTTATATGTTTGCTTTGGGATGCTGCTTTGTGCAATGCATGTAATGCATATTGTTTGGTATACGTTCGGACTCTGGTCCGCTGACGCTGGTGTCTGCTGTAGCTGTAGGCCAAGTATCAGGAGGTAATCGCCCGCACCACTATTACTACCGCAGACCGCCCGCCGCTTACGACCATTCCGCATGTCTTTACACTGCCAGGTAGCTGACGACTTCTCCGGCGAATGCTTACTTCTCTCGCGGACCGCGCTCAAGAAGTCTTTGTACATAGCAGTGCGTGTGCAGCCGGCAGGCTGGTCTGTGTGTACAATGTAGCGATGAGCGCCCTTGAATAGCTTTCTGGGAACATAGGAGAGTAAGAATAGGCTCTTTCACAGCAATCCTGTCTTCTTTCATTCGTATACAGCGACGCGTACAACCGGCATATTATCTCCAGAGCGTTAGAAGTGGGGACGGCGCACTGAGCAGTCGATGCAACAGTCTCTCCCATAGCTACGATCGGCCTACGTGATACGGCCGGCTATCGGTGGCTCTCTCGCCTATACCAAGAGATGAGAACACTGACTCGGAAGCCAGCGGCAAGGGACGGCGCAACATGATGCTGTTCGAGACACCGCCTTGGACTTTAGGCGCCGTGCCGAACCAGCGGTTATGCTTCCGCTCGCCAAACAACATACATAAGAGTAACCCTATATTAGCCCTGGGCTATAATAGATCGTCACGCTACTGCGTACTCCTTGAACTTGAACTACCACAACATCCACGAAATGCCGTCTTCACCTCCCATGGCACTGTCGCCGCCTTCGCCGACGAGCCCGGTGTCACCCACGCCTAGCAGCTCGAGCAGCGCCACCGCTACACCCAGCGGCGGGTCCACGCCCACACTCTCATCATTGCTATCAGCCGCTACGCACGTCGTGAGCGCGCATTCGCAGTCGAATCTGGACGTGCCGTCCGCTGCCAGTCCTTCGTATTCTGGGAACACGAACCCGCATTCGAGAGCGCATTCGCTCCTGCGCCGCTCGCGATCGCACAACGACCACAATCACCTGCTCGCGCCGCCCTCGCCCGACGGCGCACACCACCGTCGTTTCTCCCTCCACCGCAATCACAGCCACTCTCACTCGCGCGCTCGCTCGCGTAGCCGGCACGACGCGGCCCAGCACGCGCACGCGGATTTCATAGCAGAGTGCGAAGCGAGGATCAGGGAGAGGTACCCGGATGCGAGTGAGGAGGAAGTTAGGAGGAGGGTCGATGAGGAGGTTGTTGGGGGGCTGGAGGAGGCGGAGGATGTGGCGAGGGAGATCGTTGATGAGGATGATAGGGAGGAGGAGGAGAGGAGGAGGAGGGAGAAGTGGGCGGCTGTTAGGGCGTTTTAGTCGGGCCGGGAACGTCGTCGGGAGTTGTGGCGCCGCTATTGATGCCGCCGCAGCGGTTGGCGGCCTCGAGGCTCTCGATGACTTGCGGTGGGATCTGAACTCTCTCTCTCGGACTTTCGGGTTACCGTATACCCTGTACAACTATAGTTTGGATCGAACACGGCGCAGTCTGCTGCCGCAATCAGATAATTGTGCGGGCGGACTTCGTGCTCTTCTCGATCGTGATTCATTCACGTACATGCGCACCACTGGCGAGGATGTTGCATGTAGGTAGCACTGTGCTATCAAGGCAGTCGTTGAGGCGTGGCCTCCTGAAGGAAGAGGTTCAGCAATAGGCAGCCCAGCCGGCCTCCGCAGGTACGCGCCTGCCCGTCTCACCGTGGGCCGGGCGGACGGACGGTACGACTATCAGATCGCCGAATCATATTTCGATGCCACTTGCAGCTGTACGTATGCTCGGCGCGCGACGTGCAGTTTCACGCCCATGACCTGCGTTCCAAAGTGTGAATGATTAGAATGTGTCCATCTAGATTATACATTGACAAAGATCGACTAAAGTACTCAGTACTCAAAGCCCAAGCGAGATCCCCACAGCCGCCGCAACCAAGATCGCAAGCCCAGCACCAGCCTTCATCTCCCTCACCCCTGAATCATCATCCGGCGTAACCAAATCGAACTTCCTCCCCGGAAGCTCACTCTGACTGGGCGGACTGCTCGAATTATAACAATACTGCGTGAAGCACGTCTCGCAGAACTGCGAGCGCGCCGTGACGGGGTTCGTCCTGAACCGCGCGCGATCGATGGCGGCGCATTGTAAGCATCGCGGCCAGTTGCTGTCTGCGCCCGTTTGGTTGGGGACGAAGCCGGCGATGGTGTTGTTGTGGACTTGGTCGAGGAAGAGACCGGTGTGGCGCGTGTTGTATGAGAGAGTGAATGTGCCGGTGTTCGAGACCGGGTCGCTTCCGTCCACGGGAGGCGAGTTGGGGAGATACAGCACCAGCGGCCATTCGGGCGGGTTCTGCGTCGGCTCGCAGCCGAAGAGCGTCGGACGGCGGTTCGTCCCCGTGCTGAGGAAGTCGTTCTGCGAGGAGGGAATGGGAGGGAAGGGCTGGTGCGTCTGGTTGAGGATGCTGGTGAGGCGCTGGGAGGTCACGACGAGTGAGGTGCCGTTCGGCCACGCTTCGGAGGTGTCGGCTGAGGCTTCGACTGCGACGACGAAGTCCATGGAGCGCTCTTTGAGGAAGAGGGGGCCGAGAGGGATGTTCTCGCCTGCGGAACCGCCGTCGTCGAGGTTGAGATAGTCGGCGTCGGTCTCGAGGAAAGTGCCGCGGCTGACATTCTGGAATGGCTGCATGCGGTATGTGAGTTAAGTAGACGATGATGCATAGAAGAGCGTAAACTTGCGTTCGGCCAGCGAGAAAGGTCGTTCTCATCCGCATGAATCGGCTGGAAGATTTTCTTGACAGCGTCGAGCAGGATCGAGAGTGCGGCGCCATTGGCGTCAAAGCCTTCAGCAGACAAGAAGCTCGGTGCTCCGTTGATCAATCCCTGAAGTTACACCGTGAGCAGTCTTATCGCTGGAGGATGCATATTGACTGACATCGAAAAGACTGGAGCTCGTTCCAATCACGAATCCCGCCTCATCGAAACCGGTCACACATGCAGTGTTGTTCGGCGGACGACCGCTGATCAAGGGCGTCCCAGCGTAAGACAGGTTCATCATTGCAGATAACGCAGGGTCCCAGGATCCAAACTCATACGGCGAGATCTATCGTTGACAGCGATCAGCAATGCTGAGACCGGTCCGCCGTTTCGAAACTACGAACCTCGTATTGGATGTCTTGCAAGGTTGCGGAACTGTTGAGGGTGGTGTTGTCGGCGCGTGAAACGGTGACAACCAGCGGGAAGGGAGTGTCCTGTGAGCGGAACGAGGACAGCCCTGGGATACCAGACCACAGCTGTCCGGCGCCGTGCGGGAGATCCTTGTCGAAGAAGTTATCGCGTGAGGTCCCGTTGAAGAAGTGGTAGGACAAGGCGCGCGCCCAGAAGTCCGTTATGCTGACATCACTGGATGAGGTAGGCAGATCTTCAGTATCTATTGCGATGCAGTATGATCAGATCTACGCACATGCTCCTGTTCGACTTCAGTTGCACGCCATCGGAGAGGTTGTCATAGAAATCTTGATTGTTGTCGTTGAGGAAGTTGAAACCTCCAGGCGCGATGAGCTCGAGATCCAGCAGCCAACCGTTCAGGTTGTTGCCGTTGCCCCACACAAGATCGGGAATGACAGGGAAGTCGTTGAGATACAAGGAACCCTAGGAGACGGTCAGCTCACGCCGGATCGCGTAAGTTGCATCTATACTTACCAAGAACCAAGAACCGCCGGAAAGACCGGACAGGTACGATGCGACTTGTAGTAAGCCTCCTGTGCCGGCGGATTTCGATGAAGAGTTGCGAGCGTCAAACGCGGAAACCACACCCGCGGCGTATTGGGCCGCCCTGTATCCTCCTCCGCTGAACGCGATGGATACATTCGGAAGTGCAGGAGTGAAGCTGCTCAGGTTGTACCCGATACTCGAGCCGTCCCCTAACCAGTTGGTCCACTGCTGAGGGATAACGTTCGTCCGCCGGCTTGAGATGTAGGCGAGTTCTTCCGGATGCAAAGTCTGAGATGAAGGCGCGAAAGTGCGCAGCAATGGCGAGGTCGATACATCTGGGCACTGTATCTCAGTAGTCGGCGCGTAGTCCTCGGGAGATTGCGCGCGCGCGACCGCGCCAATAAATAGTAGAACCAAAGGGAGCATCGGAGAAAGGGGAAGCGAAGGAAAGGAGAACACTCCGCGTGCCGAGGAGAGAGCAGCGCTTTATAAAGCGACGGCACACGACGATGGGAGACTTGCCCCTGGGCGCGTATGACGATCTTTTTTATGAACGGACGGACGCGAAAAACGGAAATATCATGTCCCAAGACGGATTACGGGTTACGCGGAGACATAGCCGAGGCGAAGGTTGCTCAGTGCTGTACAGATCTGGGGCGCCGATGGGGAGATGGGAACGTAGTCAGCGGGCGCACCGCCCGAATATACGCGTCCGTGCCACAATGCCACGCAAAAGACATGAGGCGAGCTTTGGCGCTCAGGTCTGACGTGGATAGGATGACAAAAATAATGGAGTGGGTTGCGCAGCTGAGCCTGTGTGGCAGCAGGAACAAGGTCAGGGAGAAAACAAGGACGCAATTGTATTTTGCAGCGAGCCGTGGCAGATGGAAGATGGTTGTGCAGAGCGAGCTGTGCGCGCCCATCAGCGCGCGCCGCGCGCTCTCGGCGATGTTTGGCGCCGGCGCGGCATGCGTGTGCGAAACATGCTCGTGACTTTCCAAGACCGCGTCGTGCGCGGGGAAGACGCGCTTGCTCATCGCCACCATCGGCTGTACGCCTTCCGGCCGATAGACTATCATTCCTGCGAAAGCTCAGCGCTCATCGGTCGCCATACGAATCTCGCCGCCTATATTCCGAAAACGCGTCCGCGGGAACCCGAGGATGAAGGTAGAATATGTACATCGTATCGTTCTGGACTTGCTTGGCTCAACGCGCAGATCGCCGTAGAAGGATGCTGTCATGGAGAGCTTCCTGCCATTTACAAGCAGATTCAAGTCTTAGAGAGCCAGAGAAATATCAAGGTCGACCTCCTACTCGTGTGTGGTGACTTCCAAGCGCTGCGGAACCGTAGCGATCTCGAATGTATGGCGGTTCCAGACAAGTTCAAGGCACTAGGCGACTTTCACAGGTGCGAGATCTTGGGTCTATGCGCGGAATACACTAATTGACCTTCCTACCACAGGTACTATACCGGTGAGTTGGAAGCACCTGTGCCAACGATCGTGATCGGCGGCAACCATGAAGCCTCGAACTATCTATGGGAACTGTACGTCCTGAGCGCTCGTCCTCGGCGCTCCCGGGCTTACGCGTCTCTAGGTACCATGGAGGCTGGCTCGCTCCGAACATCTATTTCCTTGGCCATGCCGGCTGTATACGAGTGAATGGCATCCGGATCGCCGGCGTTTCAGGTATCTTCAAGTCGGGCGACTTCACCATGGGTATGTGGCGTCTGCATCCATTCTTGCTTTGTATGCTGCTAACGAAGTGTAGGTCATGCGGAGCGCCTACCGTACAATCGCAGCACCATGCGGAGCATCTATCACTGCCGCGAATACGACATTCGCCGCGTCTCTTTAGTACGTGCTCTTGTTGCTACCAGCGTGTCAACCGATCTCATAACTTCAATAGCTCACATCTCCTCACATCTTCCTTTCCCATGACTGGCCGGCAGGAATAGAGCATCACGGCGACTTCAACCGTCTCATGCGACGCAAGCCGTACTTCCGTGCGGACTCCCAGAAAGGAGAGCTAGGGTCACCGCCGCTCATGGACGTACTACGCAACCTGAAACCTCAATGGTGGTTCTCTGCTCATCTGCACGTACGCTTCGAGGCAGAAGTGCTGCATGGACCTGCGCCACCGGCTCCTGAACCAGCACCAGCGCCACCTCCCGTAGCGAATCCGGACGAGATTGCCATTGATGATCTGGATGATGAAGAAGTGGACAAACCTACCAAAGCCGATGATAGCGCCGCGTCTGCACCCAAAGACGCACCTGCCGCTCCCGCATCTTTCAATCCTGATGAGATCGCGCTGGATGATGAGGAAGAAGATGTCGCTCCACCACCAGCACCTCCGCCGCCACCTCCGAAGACAAGATTCCTGGCACTTGACAAGTGCTTACCAAAGCGCGAATTTCTCGAGGTCAAACCCCCAGTACATCACTCACTACCAGGGACTGATTATTCTGCTTCTCCAGGTCGTTGACATACCAGCACCTGAGGGCGGGAGTACTGACGGCCTCGTATTGACATTTGATCCGGAGTGGCTCGCCATACAGCGTGCAATGCATCCACTCCTATCAACCACGACCTCCCAACCTCCGTTCCCTGGACCTGAAGAGGCGTGGAATCGTGTCAACGAGGAGTTCGCTTGGGTACAGGCGAACGTACCGAAGTTGTTCAAGGATCCGAAGCAGTGGCGGATTGAGGAGATTCAGCGGTTTGAGCCTAGTGCTCCTGGTGGCGACGTCACAACAGGCCCGAGGGGCCAGCAACGTGAGTCGTACTTGTTTGATGGGTTGTGGCCTATGCTCACGGCGTTATAGCACCATTTTATTTGAACAAGCAGACTGTCGCCTTCACGGAGATGCTGCAGGTTGCCAACAAGATCATTCGATGATACTCTTGATGTCTATTACTTGCAATACTGTATCACGTACTGAGTCTACTGTAGTCACTAGCTTGAGTGTGAATAACCATATTGACTCTGTAGCCATCTTAGTGCGTCAACGCCAGTCAACACTGGTCACTATTGGTCACTACGTCCATGGCCCAGAAGGTTCTAGAAGGCTCGAGTGCAGCGGCCATTGCGAAGGTGCTCCTCACAACAAGAGGGAGGCAGGACGAAAGTTTCTGACACCGTCTTCAGACGAAAGTGGCGCGAGGTGGGGTGCTATGGTAGGGGTAGTCCTTCCTCCTATGGAAGGTTAATGAAACCAAATACGGAAGGCGCCCGACACGCGTTGATTGCTCGTGACGAGAGTTGAGATCGTTGAGATCGCGTCTGCGCGTCGCGCTCGCCACACGCGGTCGCGCCTGGAAGACGTCCTCGTCGCAATAGAAAATACATTGGTTTAACTAGTAGTACAATGGAAGATAGCAGTGTATTTATAAAGGCCTATCTCTCGCCCGGCTCCCGTCAGAAGGGAGTGAACCCCATGTCAGCAGCCCTCCTCTTCTCGGCGGTCTCAACGGCCTCGACGGCCTGCTCCCAAGTCGCTTCGTCGGCATCAGCATCGGTGAGAAGAAAGCCGCTACCGACGCGCGAGCTCAAGCTCACTGAGCTTGAAGGGGTGCCGGTGGAATACATTGGCGGAGATAGTTGCTCGGTGCGAGCACGCTTCACAGAGTGTTCGCCACCGAGTGCGCGCGTGGCTTCGCTAGTCGTCTCTGCCGCCGGTGTCATTGAGCGACCTCGCTTTCCGGCAGGATGTCCTCTAGAGACTTTAATCAGTATACGACCTTGTTCATGAGGATTAGAGAGCGTACCGGAGCATTGAACCGCTCTCGCATTCACCCTGACCCGTAATTGCAACATCCCCTGGCGACCCGCCTCCCGTAGCTGTTGGCTGCGATATCGCCAGCTCCTTCCAAGTGGTCAGGACTGGCGGAAAGTTGTGTTGCCAAAACGTACAAGATTCAGTCCAGATTCCGAGTGTAAGGAAATCGTCTGTGGGAGAGAATCTAGGCGAAGGACGCGCTCCTCGCCCTCGCGTGTGCGTGCAGTGATATAGACCCTAGAAGAACCCGGAGAAGAGGTCTGCGCGGCCATATATGCTGTGATGCGCGGTCAAAGGCTTGTTTTATGAGGGCTAGTGGCAGGGAGATGGCGAGTACAAGGAGAGTGCGTGTTCGCGGGACGGGCGTGCGTCGGGCGAGCGTCATGGGACACCATTGAGCGTGTTTACCGTTGTCAGGGACTGCGCGTACGAGTGCACAGCGAGCAGGGTCGTGCTGGGCGCAAGAATTTAGAGAATAGAATCACCATCGGAAAGCACACAAGTTGTTATGTATTAACAAATAAAGTACAATAATATAGTACAGGTGCATTAGTCTAGTGTCTACGTTTGACAGCGGGTTCGTTCTCGCCACCTCGGCGGGTGCGCTTTCGACCGACAACGGTGTCAGGGGAGGACGAACGCGGCGGTGACAGTTTCACCGGTATCAGATGCTGTGGTATACCGAGGCCCTCCTCCTCGGCGGCGGGGATGTAGATCGCACACGCCATTGTCTCCGGAAGCGCTGCGCCTTCTTCGATACCATCTGGCGAATAGCCCGAGGACCCGTGAGCAGGGCCGTGTTCATCACGGATGTGCTGGGGCATAGAGTACTTCCATATGGCTTTGTGAAGCTTCCCCGTTGCATCAGTCTGCAGGCACCCAGGAATCTCGCAGAGGACAGGCACATTAGAGCATCGTGAGCGGGACTTCGACACGTTTGCGTAGTAGAACGTGCGATAGTATGGGCAGTTGCTGCGGGCCTGGGGCTGTTTACCCTTCGAGGCCTTGGTCAGATAAACCTGGCATTCAGGAAGACCCGAGCGGCCACAGAACCCGCAAGGGGAGGCGCCAATCTGTACAATAGATCAGGGATTGTTGGGCGATGTCTTGATAGCACACTTACAGGGTGTCTGAGATGCTCATCGACCCCGCGCATTGCCCGCAAGATATGCCCGCCGACATGCTCGCGCATGATCTTCGCATCGACTTGCACCTGACCGGGACAGAAGAAACAGATGTGCTTCCCGTCAGCGGGATGAGCAACCTCAAGTTCCTCGCATCCCTCGCGTGAAGAAAGTGCACGGATGTCTACGCAGTCACGATTAGTGATGTGACACATGAGGAAGCACCCTCCACGCACCGTTTGAAGAATCCCGATACGGGAATGTACTCGACGCACGGAGACGGTGAAGGTGACTGACGAGGTTGTTGTCCTTCACCCGATGCCACAAATGCCCGATGATGAAACCCAGCTCGCCGTCCATGAACTCCCAGGTCACGCCGTTCAGCCGCCGTAAGTGATCGCGAACCTCAGTCGAGACCGTCGAAGAGTGGATCTCAGACTCAAAGACATTCAGCACGCGTGGATTCACAGGCTCGCACAGAACACCAGAGATCTTGGATAGCTCAATGGTCTTGCGCGTAGTTCGAGCGGTCGAACTCGTGCCCTCGGACTCGAACCTGGCGAAGTTCCCTGTCCAAATCCAGCTATACGGTGATTCGGCATCGTCTATGTCGTTGCTGTCTGCATTATTGGCTTGTGCGTGTCCTTCACTACTGTTGCTACCACTCGCGGAGGCCACAGCAGAGCTAGGGCCAACAGCCATGTCGTAGATCTGGCCGGAGATAGAGATCTTGGCAGCAGCACGAGCGAGATCGCGACTGTTCACGGCATCCACACGCACACCATGGGCCTCGATAGACGTAGACTTCACGAGTGCGAGTGAGACAATGTTGCCTACTCGCACGAGGGTAGCAAAGGGGTCCCCGACAACAAATGTGTCAGGGTCGAGCACGGCATCATCGCCGGTCTTGAAACTCCTCCGCTTGAAGTCGGTCGAGAAGTTTCGAACGCGGAGGGTACGCTCGTGTGACAGGCGGACATAGTCGGGTGTTATGACGACACGGCAAAGTGTAGACTTGTGGATTCGCTTGCCGTCGTGCTCGACCCATGCACTTGCTGTCGTCTGTCGCGGCGTTGTTGAGTCGGGCAACACGGCTTCGTCTGTATCGTCCATCTCGCCCAATTCGGCTGCTTCGAGCTCTTCATCGAAGTCCGGCTCGACATTGAGAACCGCATCAGCAGATCGCTCGTCGGTTGCACAATCCTAGTAACCTGGTGAGGAAGTTCCGCGGGTTCAATGTTATGAAGGCCCACCATAAGATTCAACGGGTCCCCCGCCACGTGCAGTACATCGGCGTCAACGCTCTCGACATCGCCGGTTGCAGTCCCTGCTATGAAATTGCTTAAAGATGAGTTATAATGATGCTCCATGAGTACGTACCGTCAGGAAGTCCGACCGGGACCGGGACGGGCTCGGGTACAAGGCGTGCATCGTCCGGCTCGTCTTTACCAACACCCGGATATGTGTTGTCGCCATTCGGTCGCATCAGGTCCACACCTGGCTCGGTATTGAAGATTGCCTCAATACCGAGGTTGACAATGCCCACTGCAGCGAGTGCGGCTTCCGCCGTCTCGCGCCCTAAGCGCCAGACTGTTGCCAGATGCACATCGTCCACAATCAGCTGCTCCCGATCCCAGGACTCCGGGTTGAGGTGATCGCGATCTTCACTGCGGCGAATATCGCGACGCCTGTGGCCTTGATCAAGGTGCGGGTGCCGGGCAAAGATGGCGTCGAGATCAACGGCCGCGCGCAGTCGATCGACGAGCTGTTTGAAGGAGAAGTTCGGCGTGTGCCCACCCTGCATGCGGACACGCCCGAACAGCAGTTCAAGACGATCGTCGCCTGTAAGCATGATGTAGAACGGTTGGGCGGGGTCGAGTTCTTTCTGCTTTGCCACGCAGAAGAATATGTTCTTGATCGACGACTGGATGTCGTAGTAGAGCTGGGTCGGCATGAAACTGCTGCCTCCGATGCGGTAAAGAGCGAAGGCCATGTGGGCACACTTGCTGAGCACCTCAAGTTGCTGTGAGAGGGACCAAGCGGGTGTGACAAACGCGTCCAAGTACGAGCCGTACATCTCGCCGACAAGCGTGAGAATGTTGGCTTCCTGCCGGCGCGACGGGTTGGCTTCGGGTTCGAGCGTGCGCAGATCGGCAAGGTGCTCGAGAAGCTCCATAGCTCGAGGAACATCCTGCCCATCTTCAGGCTTCAACAGTCGGTCAACTGTGAGAGTAGATAGGCCGAGACGACCGAGATGATAGCGCAACGTCTCATGTTTGATCACGGTTGTGTCGATTGCGAACCCTAGAAAAGAGCGCAGAAGACGAGCGCAACCTAGCAAGCTTTTGAGATAAGATCTATCGAGAGCGAAGAGATAGAACGTACGCTTAAGGAGATGCTTCCAGTCGAAGTCGCCTGTAACATCGTCTTCACCGACATAGAGATTAAGACCCGGCAGATGGCCCAAGTGCTTCCAGAGAGGGTGCGTAGAACTTATAGGCGTGCACATAAACATATTGTGGACCATACGACGTCGCCCTGCATCCCCGTCGGAAGAGAAACACCAGATGGGTCCAACGATCTCCTCGGCGGTTTTTTTCCATGCGGCAAGGACGGTGCGCAGAATCGTTTCAGATCCCTCGGGGGTCTCGGTCTTGTTGGTGGGTGATACGATGAGCGGCGTGGCATTGCGGACGTGCGGCGCGAACGAAGCGGCGGCTATGACAGAGGCCTCCTTCCCGAAGTGTACTGTTCCGTTCTCGAGCGCGCGCGCGATAGCTTCGGCACTTTCGAAGGAGGAGAGGCGAAGATCGATCTTGTCTGCATCTTCGCGTGCAATACCGCCAACTGCGTCGAGATGATGCATGTAGTCGGCGCGACCTTCGATGCTGATCTCATCCCAAAGAATCGATCCTGAATATAATAATCAGCTAGATATCATCTTACTGTATACCACCACATACCGCCCGTTTTGGGGATGTTTGCCGGCTCGGTATTGAATGGCGCCCTAGACGTGATCTGCGCAGCATTGAATGTAGCTTCCTGTAGCAATTCTCTCAGGACGATTCACGCTGATGGTGATCTTCGCACTCACCTCATATGTCGGATAAGCAAGGCTTGGTGCAAATTTGGAGACCGTGCATGCTCGAAGTGCTTGTCTGAGAGACGGTAGGCCAAAATGCTTCTGCATAGCATACAACAAGCGCCGCCCGCCCAGCCGCAGACACAGAAGCGCGAGATCAAGATCAGTCCCTGAGAAGCCCTTCGCACCATAAGTGTACTCGAGTGCTGCCTCGACCTTGCGAATGATGGCGGTGATACTGGCGCCACTGCGTTGAGCCTGGGCAACTACCCTTCGCAGACCGGGAATGTCGCTGCTGGCAACGAGGCTAACGAAGCGGCGGTAGTCGGTGAGCCTTTGCATGACCGAGGCGACCTTCCGACCGATATTCAGGCACTATCAGCAACCTTCAGTTCAATAGAGTCCACAGGTACGAGCTGCTGCGAACTTGCCTTGAGCTTGAAGGTATTCAGTGTACGATCTCGATCCTTGAGTAGCTCCCGAAGCTGCTCATATGACCGAAACTCGTATCTAGTATGGGGTTGAGCATGCTGGGCCATGACAGATAGTCGTGCGACGTCGGCGCGGATATCATCGCAGCGGGGACATGGCCCACCATCGACCAGTGCACGCCGAAGACAGTCATTCGAGCGAACATAGAACTGCTCGCCGGATTCCTCGACACCACAGAACTTATACCCGAGTTCATTCGGGGAGAAGCCGTGACGATGCCAGGGATATTGGCGAAAGAAGTCGCCCGAAGGCCACTCAAGCAGGATCCCCGGACAGCACCCCGGCGAAGGTAATGGGCGAGGTGTGCGAGGAGTCGGAGTCGGCGATGGCGATGGCGAGGCGTGCATGTTGTCCTCTTCAGTTCTGTGCTAGTGTCAGGCACTATTACTGCAGTACTGAGCAGATGCACGTACTCGTCCAAAAAGAGAGCTCTCCTCGACGATAGGCGGCCTCTATGTGTTGGTTCGGGCGGGGGAGTAGGTGGCGTCTGAACGATCTCTGGAGTGACGTGACCGGGGACAGCCCTTCGTGACGGGGTAATCGGCAGCGCAGGACCAGCGTGACCGTGAACAGCAGTGGTAGTCGATACAACAGTACTATCAGCCGAGATTGGTGAGTTGTCTGTGGCGTGCACGGGGATGTACAGAATCAAACATACCCAGTAATATTTGGAGTGTCATATACGTGCGAGACGGATCCCGGCGCAGACGATATCGATACAGACTGGTGAGTATATTCCGACGAACTACGAGCATAATGTCCGTGAGTACAGAACCAGGCACAAGTGCAGATAAACTTACGGAGGTACTAGGCAAGCACGAGCAGCTGCTTCCAGTCGCTTTCGACACCCTTTACCATTCATGTGTCCCCTCAGAGGCCCGACATTCGCAGACGTCGAGCCCGTATAGACCGGTTCGCCACATGCAGGTCGTGGGCATACCGCAGCGAGCTTTCCGTCACCTCTGCGCAGCCAAATAACATCGTCGGCCTTCAAGACGAAGTTGCCGTTCAAAGGATACTGGCCAACGATATGGCCAAGGTTGAGTGAGGCGGGAACCGGCGCAGTTTCCGGCGCGGGCGCGGATGATGTCTGCGAGTTTGCAGGGTTTCCGTAAGATAGTGGCTGATTTATCGCCGAGAGAGCGCCAGAGCTGGTTTGCCCAGCTAGTGAAGGTGTCGGCCCGAAGACGTCTCCAGACCAGTAAGAGCTGGCGCCATCGTTGCTTGTACTGGCTGAATATACGCGGTCATCCATCAACAGACAACCGAAGCCCGCGACAAGCACGAGCGGAAGCAGATGCTACGATGTTCGGCTCAGCTTTCTTCCATACAGATAAATATAGAGAACCTTGAAGACGTACCATACACAGTTGACAGTGATTCAAGAGCTAGACGTCGAGGTTGGGAGAGAAATGCAGCCCACCCACCCATTTACTTGACGAACCCGACCAGTATGACGCAAGAGATTTATCCAAAAGGCATGGTATTTCACTGACTACGCAATACTGGAGCCCGTATATTGCGGCAGGGCACAGCGCGAGCGGGTTGCTACGCGTCGTCGTCGTCGCCCGTCGCGTCGGCTGTGGCGAGTGGCAAGTGAGCTGGCATCTCAACGCGCGTCGCGTGTCGCCGCTCGCGTGCGTCACACGCGGCACTTGCGAGCGCTTTTCCCGGCGCTTAACAGCTATCCCGGTTGCATCTTGTGCTGGTGTGTTATCCAGATAGCATTACAAATCGACTAGTAGCAAAAAATTGGGGGGTAAGGGCTATGGGGACAGAAGTACAAGGCTCTCGCAGACAAAACGCGAGATCGCGGCAGATCTAGCCAGGCACGCAGGGGGGGATAGCTTACGGAAGGGAAGTGGGTGTCAGAGATCTGGATCTTGCCTCCCTCTTGCCTCACAAGCCCCTCAAGTATAGCGGTCTCAAACCTCTCTCTCCGTCTCACCCCACGATCCTGTTCCCCACACGAGTTCAACGTACACTCTCATCACCACGAGCTTATTTCTTCTAGAACCGCGGGATGGACTCCGACGGCGGCGATGACATCTTGGATCGCGAGATGAGTAACTCCGAAGCCGAATCTATAACCGAGGATGCCCCTGGCGCGCGTGTGCTGTGGTTCGGTCAGCACTCGGGAAAGCGGCGCCTGGACGAGGTGGGCGAAGGATACATAGCCTGGGCCTGCCATCCCAAGCGCAGACACCAAGTATGGGTGCGTCGTGAACATACTGCCGATGCTATCTGCATGTTAACCATCAATATAGTATAACGAGTTCAAGCAGCTATGTGAAGAATATCGGCGGTGGCGCGAAGAGCACTATCCAACCGAGAACCCCGGCAGTGCGATCGTATGGTGGGGGAAATACGAATGGCAAGAGTTTCGTAAGATGTACGCTGCCTACGGGCACATGCGGTACGTCCTGCAGCCGCGGTTCAAAGGCTGCCGCTGGGTGAGCACAGACGCCAGTGATACGTGTGGGGTGAAGCTGATTCGAACATTCGTATAGTACTTCTGGCTCAAGAACCAGACTCAGCGTTACCAGGCCTGGCTGGATGAGCATCGCAGGCCGGCGCGTGCCCGTGTCTCCACTGGCTATCGCAGGGACATAGGAGAGCGAGTTGACAGTCGAGACGACAAACCCCCTCCGCAAGAGGAGTACGAACGCGACGACTTCCTCGTCTCGGATGACGACAACGATAGCGATGCAGACATTGATAGCGAAGAGGTCTCCGAAGACGAAGTGGAGGAGACGTTGAGCGACGAACTCAAGGTAATGGTTCCGACATACTGTGCGCACATATTTACTGACCCTGCACTGTCAGAACCTGCAGGATGAGCAAGACACGGGGCAATCTTCAACCGAAGATACCGCAGATGAAGCTATCGATCGGCAAGCCGTAAACGAAGGCAGTACTGAGGGCGAGAGTCGCTGTGGGGACGAAGCGGATGGAGAGGATGACGAGTGTAATGCAATTGAAGACGAAAACGAAGGCGACGCAGATGCAGATGACGACGACGAAGAAGACGCAGATGACGAAAGCGACTTCGACGTGCAATACGATCTGGCCAACAAGAAGGCCCGTCAACAATCGGCTTTGGACAAGATCAAGAAGAGCATAGTAGCGAAGCGTCCAAGCTCCAGCCAGCTCGTCTCGCCCAAGGTACAGCGCAGTCAATGATCATTCCTCTACATCTACATTAACATGTTCTGTAGAAACGTTCACGGAGTCTCTCGTCTGATGAGGAAGAGAGCGTACAGGCTCGCACTTCCCGAGTTCGCAGGAAGACTATACCGGACAATGGCCCATCTTTGGATACTGACTCGGACTCCGACGAGGATGAGTTGCCGTCGAGGCTCACGCAGCCCGCAGTAAGCAACTCGAAGAGGGACTTGCCGCGTCGGTCTGCTAGACTGCGCAGCGCAAGGCGGTTTGTTCAGAATATGTGAGATACCTGTGTGTAGAGCAATGTACGCGGCTCTCCGTACATCTCCTTCTAGTGTATTCAGACTGCTGTTGCAGTTCCCGCTGTAAATGTGCAATTGGATTTACGGGTTTGTCAATAGGACGACAGGTATGACAACAGGCACTTCGAGTGTAAGCAATGACAATGAGCCGCTGGGGCAGGCACGCGCACTAAGTCTCCTTGACTGGCAAGGAGCACAGTCGACGTGCCGTAAGGGAAGGCGGGAGACTGGCTCCTGCAGGGGACCGAGAATTAAGAACAAATAGTGCGAGATTGACCCAAGGAGAACCAGGACGACTTTCGCGAGGCGAGGGATACGGAACAGTTGGCTGCTTAAGGGCAGAAGTAGTGGGTGTACGTCTATGATGTTGATCAGAAGGTCGTTCTGTCGTCGATGACGCAGACGGCATACCTGGCCAAGGGGCGAGTTGCGGTCCGCAGCATAGTCCGTCGAGGTGGAGTAGGCCTCCGACGCAGGGCAGCCAGAGTCCGAGTCGGACTTGCAGAAGACCTCCTGGCCGTCGGAGACGACGAGCCGCGTGGGGATGTTGATGTCGAGGTCGACACGGCTCAAGTCCCACTGGACGAAAATAGTCAGTAATGAAGTACGATCTTGACAGAATCAGAGCAGCATTACCGAGGTCCTCTCCCCGCCGTAGTTTGCGCCGAAGTCCGCGTATCCGTACTCGGACAAGACGACACCAGAGTTGATGCCTCCATCTGTGCAGACGAGGCCTGAGAAGTTGGGCATGAGTATAACTCTTATACGCGCCAAGGTGACGCGACCTACCACCAACACAGGCACCTGTCTTGCAGTTCGAACCGGTCGAGTCGCAGCCGGTACGGCCCCAGGCGCGAACGCCGACCGCTGTATCAGATACAGTGTACGAATCACTGCCACCGTTCGCGTGCAGCTCTTTGCCGTACGCAATAGATGGATCTGGCGAGCCCCATGGGGCGCTACCGACCGAAGCCCATATAGTCTACGTAGGTTATCAGTACTAGAGAGGAGGAACTGGAGGAGGGACGCACGTAGTCGCACTGGTTCACGAATTTAATCGTGATTGCCTGCGCGGAGATGGCGGCGGCGAGAGGCAAAGCAAGGGAGGCGAAGAACTTCATTTCGAGACGTTTGTTAACGAGTGTAGGTCAGAAAGAACGGGAGTGGGGGGCGAGAGAGGCCCGAGAGCACGTAGCGAGAGCTGGTAGTGGGAGAAGGGATGTGGAATCCTGAATGTTTCAAGAACTTCGCGGTCAAGCTTTATGCCAGAGATAGTGACAGGTGCCGACGGATCTATTGCGGGATCTTCGGGTCTCGGCCCCGTCATGTTGTTGAGATGGTTACGCCAGGCACCGAGGCACGCTCGACCACGAAGTCAACACGACGTCAATAATCTGAACATGAGCTTACCAGGCCGCGGCCGGGTTGTAAGCTGCTTGCAATAAAGTACTACACTACATCGTCGTGCCCGCTCTACGTCCAGTGTGAACATGCACAAGCCTAACCATCCTCCAACACCGCCTCCACGATGTCTCCCCAAAGGCGAACAATGTTCTCATGGTCGCACCGTCGAAGTCCTCCCCAACGATGATCCTCGTCGTGTAGCTTCCGCTGAAACTCCGTCAAACGGTCAAGATCCTTCTGGTTGTTGACACGTTGGTCGTACTCAAAATGGTGGATGAAGCCTGCCAAAAATGAGCATGGTGTTTAGCGCTCAATCAAGTCGACGCACTAAGAGCGATCTTGACTGGTTCCGGCGCGGCGGAGTATAGTTGCTCGAGCTTCCTGGGCTTGAGCAAGTCTCCGTATTGATCGACAAGTCGTACATCGGTCCAATGGGAAAAGGTTCGTACTGTGGTGAGTTCAGAGGTCTTGGTACGCTCGTGATACCGTTAACCAGACTCACACATAGACGCCTGAACATGAGGACCGACCGACCGGAGTGATCGCGCGAACTCTCCCGGAGAAAGTAGATTGCTACTCTCAGTGCCGCCCCGGGCCTTTGTCAAATCCACAAGGGACCCGCAACCGAAGTAGACATGTCGCCGCAGCTCGCGGTCGTCTTGGATATAGACTGGGATATCATGGGTTACAATGAGATCTAGGTACATGACGGTCAACTCAATCGATCACAGGGCGCGGATGGACCCGTGCGCACCCAAGGCCTTCTTGAGACCGGGAGGGCAAACCTCATAGGTTTTCCAAGCGAGCCGTTCGTTGAAGAGCGTTTCGTTCCATGCCCAGTCCCAGGAGTACAGAGTCATGACTATACTTCTTTAGTCAGCCTTCGTATTGTCGAGCGTTATCGCAGAACGTACACACGGCGGTCTTGACTGCTGGTCGGGCTTCGGAGAGCAATGTGCGAAATCGGGAGGCTGCGGCGCGAGCATCTTCATCAGGCGGAGGTGGCAGTGGTATGTGAACTTGAGTGTAGTGTACGGCTCGCGAGGAGGACATGGTGTGCGTCGTGGAGAACGGGTGCGGGGTAGTGGTCGCGGAGGTCGCGCCTTCCAGAACCGCGGTTTTATACGCGCGTGCCGCGCGATGTGATCATCGGCCTCGTTTCGAAGTGACAATGGAGCCGGGCCGCATAGGGGTTGCCAGGCGAAGGGTAAGTAGAACCATGTATAGCATCTATGTTTTTGTGGGCATTGAAAGTGATATCTTGTGAAAGGAGCTTCAGTAGCTGGACTTCATCGTGGCAGCAGGAGAACCGCGTGGAGAGCGCGCGTCGTCCTGGACCCGCGGCTTGGTTATAGCCTTCATCATCCCATATCACATTCACTCCTAGACCGCGTGTCCTTGTGAAGAACGGCCGAATCTGAGAATCTACCTCTTTCTGCTGCCCGAGACGCCTGAGAGAGCGATACAACAGGTCTGCAAATCAGGCACAGTGATCCATCGTCACAGATCAGCATGGAGGTTTGTCGTCCTAAGCCGAGTAGCAACACGACTCTCGCTCATTTGTAACCTTAATAGGCGCCATCCAGCTACGACTTCTGGGAATCGCACCGCCAAGCTCGTATGCAGCAGTTTTCGCTCCATGCTGTATCATCCGTCAGCTCTACCGAACGGGATCATATGCGAAAGCAGTTACTATCAGATGCGGAGTTTTTGTCAACGATGGCCCTTGACTTCAACCGCCATGTCAACAATCTGAATGCGATATCTCACCTACCTCCTGAGATACTTTTGCACATTTTCCGATCCCTCGCTGAGCAGGAACCCCCGAGCTACACCTCCCATGTAAAAAAACTAGGCTGGATTCATGCGGGACATGTCTGTCACACGTGGCGCGTAGTCATACTCAGTGCCAGCGAACTTTGGGCGCGGAGTATTGGATCCCTACCAGCTGGAACTGCTGCATTCATTGAGCGCGCTAAACAGTATGGATTATGGGACGTGAAGATGGATACTTCTTACAAGAACCATCCACCGCTGCGAGAAGTAGCTCTTCCCCTGGAAAGGCTACAAAGCCTAAGTTGGACGATACGCACCGAGAAGGACGCCAATACTACCTTTAACATGTTCGCTGGCAAAATATTTCCCCAACTTCAGGAGCTCGAAACCACCTTCCCCTCTCGTCTGCTGGTCACCTTCTCCGCTTTGACCCCAATACACGCCCCCAAACTCCGCATATGGTCATCGAGCTCGTCTCACTTGCCCTTACGTGGGCAATCTTTGACTCATATGCACATGTTCAACGTGTGCTTTATGGCCGCTGATCTTCTCGAGACGCTGGCCCACGCTCCACGCTTAATAGTTCTCGAACTGAAAAGGTTCAAACTTTTTCCTAGTACCAACTCGAACGAGCACCTTTGGACGACCGGGCCGGTCCGGCTACTCTCCCTTCAGAGCTTCATCGCGGATACTGAGGATATATCAGGCTCCCGATTGAATGCGAATGTAGTGTCCCACATGAAGCTCTCTTCTTCCGTCGCTCTTGACATCGATGTCTCTGCCCACCACATGATGTCCGAAGAGGATTACGCACTCCTCGTCACCATCCTACGCGATACTTGGCCGTCCAGTTGTGCATTGACTGTACAGATATCTGGACGTAAGATAGAGTGCCGACCCTCAGACGCTGTTGGTTCGGATATACAAGCCGGGACGCGCAGTGTCTCGTTCAGAGACCAGGCCACGTTGATTCGCGCTGCACCACTTAACACTCTTCATGCTGAGTTCGAGCAAGTCAATCGTCTGATCATCGTGGCAGATGAGGATCTAGGCGACGAGGACGAGATTCGGCTCTGGGCGGATACATATTCGTTGTTCCCGAACGTACGAGAGCTTGATATGCGAAGAGGAGAGCTTTCCGACTTGAGTCCATTGGGCAACTATACCCACGGGCTTCAGTTGCCTCGACTGGAACGTTTGCGGTTGTCGGGTGCCTTGCTCAAGACCGGTTGGAGCAAGTTCCTCATCATTCTTCTACACAATCGAGCCGCCGCTGGCGGGAGATGTAAGGAGCTATGGTTAGAAGGGATGTTTGATCCGGGAGAAGGTGGCGATGAAGACGTACAAGCGCTACGCGCTTTGGTGCCAGAGATTCATTGGTCGGAGGGCTAAATGTTGTAGTGCATCTGGCTCTCTGTTTCATATCTTACATTTCCGATGTACTTACACCAGAATTAGTCCGTTTACCAGCCATGTTCATGTGCATGCGAAGCTGATTGTCCACTACCATTCATCATTATATTTCTCTCAATGAAGTCAACCTTACAAATCATCGCCTTGATTACCGAATAGGCGATATGGGGATGCTATCGTAATGCGTGAGGGTCGTACTTTGGCCGCAATACCGCGAAATGCCGAAGACGTATCTAGTGGGACACATGAGGGTCAGCACCGCGTGCCTAGTGATGGCGCGAGAGTGGACGCGCATGCACGCGCCGCTCGATTGGACGGGCTGTCCGAGCTGCTGCGACAGCGCATTCAAGATGGAGCAGGGTCGCATGCGTTATCATTGGAGGCGATAGACGAGCCAGATGACGGTGATGCGGGTGTGGATGCTCTGCGCTCTCTCGTGCCAGTTATTCATTGGTTGGGTCGCTCTGACGACGCCAATGCCGAAGATTGAAGCGTTCTCTATCACGTTGATCATCCCGCTTGTGTATGCGACTGTACAACAGTGGATGACTTTCCACAGGCGTTTGGAACGGCCAGTCGTCTCCAAACTGCTCGCTGAGCGTGATCGATCAAGGCACCGCGTGATCCGGCGCTAACAAAAACGATTCTGAGCGAGAGGTTTAGAGCACGGTGTCGACCCGTGCACCAAACGCTTTCGAGGTCGAGTTTTGATGGCTCCTTCCCAAGAAGGGAAAATGTGATGCGGTGGAAGTACCCAGCGGGTCGGCTCAGCGGGTGGCGGCAGCGTCGCTGGCCTCCCAGGTAGGTACCTTGACCATGTTTGCCGCTCGTAAGTGTCGGAGTGGGGATTTTATGCCTCTGGTAGTACTCACAAATATTTTCAGGACGATCTGTCAGGTCCTGGTAGCTGTGCGAGCCTTGCAGCGCAAGATAGACTGGTTCGCAGCCGAATCGGGCGCGTTGCAAAAGATAGAGACCTTCCACGCCCCCCTCTTTCGCAGAGGCGGATGCCTTGAGGTACGTTCATCCTCACTGACTACCTCTTGAGCCCATCTCAAGCAGTATACAGAGCACAGATCCTCAAGAGCACCTCGGAGAAGACCGATCGGGTCGAGGCGGCCACGCGGGAAACAACTCGCCATCAAGTCCGCATTTTTCGTTTATCTTCGGTAGGAAACTTACCCTCAGGCACGGTTGCGCATGCCGATCAAGCGTTTGGAAAGGTTTGGAGACGACTTGCGGATCCAAACGCCTGTGGAAAGTCATCCAGTAGCACCCAGTGCCCGTGCAATGCGCCGAGGGTGCCTTGTGGCGAATGAATGAGGTTTGCGGGGAAGAGATACACAGTCACCATCAAGGGGGGTGATATATGACGATGGCATCACATTATGAGGTCGAGGGTAGAAACTTGCGCATGCATGCCGCTACTGGGTACTGTAACGCCACTAGACTTCGCCGCAGACGCATCAGCGATGAACACACAGTGACGCCGTCCGAGGTGCACTGCCGCAGGTGTATATTTGCCACAGACGCGCACTCAGACCGCCACTCACGACTGTCATCAGAGCCGCGCCTGTAACTAGGTGCAAACTGCATTTAGCATCAGTAGGTTGAGCACGAAAGCAGCGTGCCCATGGCCGCACGTACATACATGCAAGGGTCCACGCTGGCTAATAGTCAGAAAGATAGCAACACGCCTTCAATCGAATCGGCCGTCGTCTAGCGCCTTGACAGCATTGGAGGAGACGAGCGCATGTAGCGCTTTCAGCAGACACGCTCGTCGTAACGCCACCACGTTGGTGCAATGCCCAAAGAGCGCAAGCAAGAGGGGGTCCACCGGTCCCGCAACCACCGGTTCTCATGGGCCAAGAAACGGTGTTACATGTTTATATCGGGCGAGCGTCTGTCTTGTCGTCGTCGGGCGGCTAGACTCGCTGACGACCTTCATCAGGGCGAGCGCGTCTGAATGCCCACGGCGACGATACAGCGGCGAGAGAAGAGTGACACGAACTGAACGGGCGTCGCGCTCACACCCGTCGGTCCGTCGGTCGACATCGCTCTGAAGAGCGCCCAACGGAGGTAGGCATATAGGAATGGTAGCATAGCGCGAAGCATGATACACTCGTTCATAGCAGATGACTTGAAAAACGAATGCTCTTCAATATCGGGCTTTAAGCATGTGTGAACATGCGAGAGCGTGGCAGGAGATTGACAGGCGTGGCTGATGGCATTGTGGGCGCGGATTCGCAGACTTCGGGCAGGCACAGCTGCACTGGTTGAAGTCACCATTGAGATTACAGTGATTTCATGTACGCTGCTTATCCAGGCACTCTGCTGAGCAGACGGCGTAGCGCTGGGCACCACACCGTGCGGCGACTAGACTGGCCTGCGAGGACGGTCGAGCCCTTCCGCGTGGTCAGCAGTACGTATTTTCGTAGAGCCAACGGGCCAGGGTCCAAGGGAATCTAGAAGCTCTGCGATTTGTGTTGCTTCAGAAGCTGATACCGCCTTTGATGCTGTATGCGTGCAGTAAATTGGGGCTTTACGACGAACAGAAGGAGACGCGTTCCCGACGTTTCCGCTCGGGGTTCACGCAAAAGGAAGTGTCTGAAAGAAAGTGCGACGTGCGCTTCCGTTGATGGCGAGGGTGGCGGATGATGAGAGGGTGAGCCAAGAGAGGAAAAGGCTCGGGACGCGGGAAGGCGCGTTGCGAACTTGCGCACGTCGTACAGAGCGCGCAGCACGCCGACATCGCTGCTACATCTTGCCTCCTACCATCATCGGTCTCTCTCCGTAGAGCTCCGCCGTCGCGTCTACACGCCCTGTGCGCGGGTCTGAGCGTACATACTACGAATACACCGCCAGGTTGACACATCAGACGCTTTAGCTCGCGTTGTAGGCATCTGGTTCACTTTGGGCTGCTTCCGTCAACGAGCTCTGTCGTCCCAAATACTCGCCGTTCTGGTATCGGCTTGACTACATCTCGCACTTCGGCCGACACTCCACCATGCTGGCCCAGGCAGTGAATACTACGGCCCCGGAAGGTTCTCATCAACACCATGTAGCCTCGCACCGCCAGTCCTACATCGCACACGCGACTATGCCTGATGCGAGCACAGAAGACAAAGTTTGCCCTGGCTGCCAACTTTCTGTCATGAACGAGAATGGCGGCGTCGTCATCTCTTTTGGGTGCGTTCGGTTCCCGCAATTCCATCTACGACATATCCTGAACTAGTTTTGATCTCAGCTCGTCTTTCTTCCACGTCGACTGCTTCAAATGCGCGAAATGCCATAACACAGTTACAGCGGATACGAATCTACTGCTGCTATCGGACGGCCAACCGGTATGCTCGAACTGCAGTTATTCGTGCTCCGTCTGCCACCTCCCCATCCTGGACGAGGCTATCATGACCGGTGACGACTCGTATCATGCACACTGCTTCAAGTGCAAGTCGTGCGGCAATCGTATCGACGAGCTCATGTTCGCGAAGACCCATAACGGCATATATTGCATGAACTGTCACAACCAGCGTGTCGCCCGCAGCCGTCGCCATGCGGCTAAGCAGAAGGAGCTGAAGGAACGGGAGGCGAGGGAGCGAGAACAGAGGGAACGGGCGGCAAGTGCGAGCGCCGCGGGCAGCGCCTCTTCACGAGAACAGCTTGTCAGGGAACACAGTACCCCAATTTCGTCACCACGTCCCTCTACGGCGCAGTCGCCACCCATGTCGCGTGAACCTTCAGCCTTAGCACGGAGGCCATCTTTGGACACTGTCGGCCGCTCGCATTCAGGGCAAAGTACCCATGCATCACCCTCTTCCACCCCGAATCCTATGGTATCACCAATATACGAGCGTTTCATGCGCTCGTCGCCTTCCCGCCCTTCGTCGCCCCAGGTCATCGTCGGTCCGACCGAGCAAGCGCACGACCCTTCTTCTGCAAGTCCCGCGCATAATGGTTTGGAAGACCACTTATCCCCACCAGGGAGCGCGCAAGAGGTTGCACGGAAGCCTAGCCACGATCGCGGCGTACGCGAGCTGTATAAGAAGCACGACCCAGCTGGCTCTCAGACGAACCTAAGTCTACCTAGTGCTAAGGGTCGTTCATCCAAGCGCAACAGTATCAACCCAGGCATGGCTTTCGACATCGACACTGCAGCGAGCGAGCTTGGTTATGCTACTCCTTCTACTGGCTCAGGTCGCGGATCACCGGCGCCGATGAATACACTGTCACCGCAGACACCCGCGTCTGGCTTGTCGGCATCATCGCCTATCACGCGTCTGCGCGCCGAGAGTTCGCCAAAACCTAGCACAAGTACTGGGGCTGATTTCCCTGCGCGACCGGCGCTGACGGCTAACCATACTATGGACCGCGTACCGCAAGCCCTCTCTCCTGCAGGGCCGCGAGTGCGCCCGCAACGCTCATTTGATACCCGGGATAACGGCCGCGAACCGCGGCACGCCCCTAGCCTGAGCATCGACGTCGAGAAGAGCCGTGGTGGACCGACGTCTGGTCGTACAAGTCCAGGTCACAAAGTCGCGAGCCCAAATCATCGCGCCGACGTCCCGCACGGCGTCGAGAGCGGCACGGACACCGACGCTGAGAACGACAGTGACCATCCACCAGAACCTCCGGCGAAGAGTCCGAAGGAGCCTATATCTGCTGACCGGACGCCGCGACCAGAGAAGATAGCGGCGCCTGGCTCTGCAGCTCGGGAGGGTAGTCCAGAGCCGGGTAGCAGTGATGAGAGCGTTGATCAAGTTCGGACAAGCACGTTCATCGCACCTGCCCTCCCGCCGATCCGCATCTCCCTCGGTGCTGGTGACTTCGGCGAGCTTCTCAAGAGCTACAACCACACTCGCTCCGGGTCCTTGGCGAAGGCAGGACCACTTTCCGCCGTCGACGAGGCATCGCCGAACACGGAGCTCGTGGCGGATAGAGAACGCGAACGCGAGCGTGGCCCAAGCCCAGATACACCTGCTAGCAACGCGAGCTGGAGGTCAGACATGACGCCCACCACGAGCTCTCAGACGCACGCGACGAGTTTGGAGGCCGAGCCGAGGTTCCAGGACGACGCGAGCATGACGACTATCGGCGCTACGTCCTCGACTGCACACTCAAGCAGTAATGGACATGCCCCCAATAAGGCAGAGCCGTTCCCCTCTATCGCAGACTTGTCCGTGGACCAACAACGTTCACGCTCCGACTCAAGCGCGTCGGCAATGATGGGCGATGCGACGCCCATCACGGTCACTGCACCCGGGAGTACGGTCGCGCGTCCGCTCAAGGTCGACACGAGCGATCTCGTCATGCGCAGGTTGCGTGAGGCTCTGGCGGAGGCGGGGAAGCGCGGCGCTATGCATGTGAACTTGGACCAGGAGTTCGTGCAGACCATTCTTATGGTGCTCGAGCAGCGTCGCGTCGAACATGCGGAACTCAAGGGCAAGATTGACCATATCAAGGTGCGTCTGTCTATCGCGGGACGACGTGTTCTACATCTGATGATGTTTCTCCGTTTAGCGCGCGAGCCAACAATATGTCGATGGTCTCACAGTCGCACAGGGCGAGTACGAGGCGGAGCTACAAGCGCGCCGCGATGCGGAGGCTGAGGTTACACGCCTGCGTGTGCTGCTGAATGGCCAGGCGGCCCGTATCACCGCTATGAGCAACGATGCTCGCAAAGGGGAGCTGCACAAGCAACTTAGTCGAGAACTGAGCGAGAACCTCACTGTACTCGAGCGCAATCTCTCTCGTCTACGTGTGGAACGCGACGTCGTGATTGCGGAGGTTGAAGAACTGGAGACCAGCAAAGGGTATGCCTGTCACTGTTATAGTCAACCGAGCTGAAACTGATGCTTCACTGCCGCAGCTCTTCCAACAGTATGCCGTCGGAACCATCGAGCGGCGCCAACCTCAAACGATCTCTTACCATGCGCCTCGACACGCTCAAGCAGCAATATCAGCGGGAGCTCGTGCCGCTCACAGACGAGCGTGGCGCTCTACTGCGCGAGATCGCGGAGCTCAAGGCCGCGCGCGACATCTTCCTCGAGGAGACGACGATGCTGAATGCCCGTAACGAGGAGTTGGCCGCGCTTAACGCGATCTACTCTCGTAGGCAAGAGCAGGCTCCAGAGTCCATGCGTACCGACAGCTCCGGTTCCCAAAACAACCAGGCAGATACGAGCCTTGGTTCCGGAGACTTCGTCAAGATCCAGCATCCCAGCGCCGCAGTGGTTCAACAAGCGCAATTGCAGGCTCAACAACAGATGCAACAAGCGCAGTACCAGGCACAACAGCAAGCTCAGGCCCTTGCTGCCCAAGTTCAACGCGACAACGCTGCAACTGCGTCTGGAGAGCAGGGCACGCTCAAGAAGCGCGGATGGCTCGCGGGCGTACGTCGTGATGCTGGACCCGGAACGGGGGCGCCGGATGCTGCGCGTTTGACCAAGTTCAAGCATAGCTTCCAGCAGATCTCTGTTCTGAGGGTTACCCGCTGCGACCATTGCGGAGATAAGCTCTGGGGATCGCAGGTTCGCTGTACCGGGTGCAACTTGAGTGTACATCACCGCTGCCAAGCTGCCGTTCAGAGCGCTTGTACCCCCCAAGCCACGCCACGGAAGGATGCTGCGCAAGTCCCATTGCAGCCGAGCATGTTTGGACGCGAGCTCATTGAGCAAGTCCGTGCGGACTCGCGTGGCGGAGACAGGATGGTACCCGTTATTGTGGAGAAGTGTATCGAGGCCGTCGAGCATCATGGTACGTTCCCCCCTTTTGTATCGGACGCTTATGCGTGTACTCAACGGTTCATCAGCGATGGAGTACGAAGGCATCTACCGGAAGACGGGTGGAAGCGCGCAGAACAAGAAGATCACCGCCTTGTTCGAACGGCAGGACTACGAGTCGTTCGATCTGAATGACGAGGAACAGTTCAACGACATCTGCAGCGTCACATCTGTCCTCAAGACGTACTTCCGCTCACTGCCGAACCCGCTGATGACCTTCGTTCTCCACGACGAGTTCATGAATACGAGCATGATCAAGGATCCTAACCATAAGGCGGCCAAGTACGCAGACCTTGTCAAGCAACTACCGACGGAGCACTACTACACCCTGCGCATGCTCATCCACCATCTTCATCGTATCCACGAACATAACTCTGTCAACCTCATGACCGCTCGCAACCTCGGCGTAGTCTTCGGCCCGACTCTCATGCGCTCGCGTAACCCTGGGGCCGAGTTCAGCGACATGGCCGGCAAGGCGCTTACAGTCGAGTTCCTCGTTGAGAACGCTCCGGACGTCTTCCCGTAATATTGATGGACTTACGCTTCCTTAATGCCCTCCTGTTGTGCACTATTTCCGCGCCCGTCTTGGACGTTGCTCTCTCCAATCTTTTCCTTGGCCCCTTCCGTTATTCATATTTTTGTGGAATAAAGCGCTGTGGTGATTACAGTCGTTCATGCAGCCCTTCTTACCCCTTTCTGTCTCATATACCCTCGTCGCTCTTTCAGTCACATCTATCCATTCTTTCGCCCGTTCGTGCAGCCTATCCCTCATGTCAAATCTCCATTCTGGATCCTTGCGCACATTGACTCAGTTTCCGATGGATCGATGCAATCTAAGTCTTACCTTTGCCTTTCGATCTTCTGTATGGCTTTGCAACCCCTCGTTCCCTGTCACAGCACTGGCTCCCATCCCCACTTATACTTCTGCAGCTCTGTATCTTATTTTATTCTAGATCGCTAGTGGATATGATCTGTTACATCTCGATGTAATCCGCCCTGATGAGCTCTAAGTACTGTGCTGCAAGTCGATTCTTCGCGACGCAGAGCACAACAAACCTACGCATACCCAAACGTTCATTAGACATACCATATCACAGCTTCGTCCTCGCAGCTCCATCGGCGCCTGGACCCTGTGCTTGGTTGTCCAGATGTTCCATGAACTCATGGATCTTGTCAGCTACTTTAAGTGGGTGACTCTGGACGAGTAGGTGTGTGGCGTCCTGTATCACGACGTGCGATGAGTTCGTCGAACGGCGGCGAACGCGGTCCCCCGCCAGGTCCTCTGTACGAACTATGCTTTGATGCGCTGAAGGTACGATCCAGTGGATCGCTACTCGCTCGTCGATGTTCGGCAATTCAACCCAGGCTTTGTGCGCGCTGGAGTGTTCGATGTAGACGACGGCCTCTTGGAAAGCGGTACACTTCAAGCGCACACCTCCATCCGAGGTCTCGACCAAGCCGTGCTCAATGTGAAGTTGTAGGACCTCATCCGGCCAGTCTACGAAGGGTTGTCTGGACTTGAGAGCCGTATACGCAGCCTCTCGGCTTATCCAGCCGTTGCGGCGCACTACAGCGCCCGGTATGTACGCGCGAAGCGAATCGTAGACCTTCGACTCCACTCCCTTCGGGAAGATGACTGGATCGGCGAGAATGAGCGCCTTGAATAGCTCAGGGCAAGCTCGAACGGCTAATGTCAAGGCCGTCCCGCCGAAAGAGTGGCCTAGTGCAAACAAGGTTCTCCCCGTGAAACCCATCGCGAGCCGTGCGCGAGCTTCGTTGATGGGAAGGCGCTCAAGGACAGTTGGGAGCGTGTTGCATGGTTCGCGCGGGAGGTAGTGTCGTAGAAAGCAGAGGACATCGCGTGCGAGGTCCGACCAGTCGAACAGACTTCCAAAATTCGCAGCGTCGTTGAGTAGCGCAGAGTCACCATGCTGCACGCAGTCTAGCGCCCAGACTTCGTCGATATCATTGCGCCGGGCGAAGAGTCGATTAAGTAACGGCTCGAACAGTGCCTGGAGGGCAGATTTAGTGTGATTCGCGTATGGGACGTGATAGTAGGAGCAAACCTTGTGCATGCCATTCGCGTGAGTGCAGATCAAGGTCTTGCCTTTTCCCACCCCCGACGCCCGCTTTCGAGCGTAGCGATTTGCGCAGATCCATAACCTCTGCTCTCTACCAGTCTCGCAACGCAGCCTCCCTTCTTCGTGTCTCGTTTTGAGATCGATCAGCTCGTGCATGACTTGGCGGCCTCGTATCTTCTTTGCCTCCTTGCTCTCGCGTTCTGCGGGCGCGTTTGCATTGATTGGCACGGGTATGTACGGCGTGTCGCGAGGCCATGCACCATCGAATACATGTGTACTGCGGATGTAGTCTGCGCTGAAGTCGGATGGCGGACGAAGAGTTGAAAGAGAGGGCGCATCGAGTATCGTTGGAGCAGGATCGGCTGGCAGAATGTCTTGTTTTAGATGCATAGAAGACATGGGCGTGAATATAGTCCGTTCCAACTAGTGTCCAAGGAAGTCCGCACGGTCGTGGCCGTTTCCTGAGCCTTACTAAGTGAGGGTGGTCAGGCAGATCATCTTATTCGCTTGTGGGGGTATATAACTGCTGAATATGCTTCGCGAGCGCCCATACCGGCCGGAAAAGGACATAGCCCGCGCCGGTGAGACGAAAGGGGTCGCAGACCGATTAACAGTTTGGCGCATCTGCTACCTATTGGAGCCGCCGTCGTTGATTAGCATACCCTGACGGGTCGAGAGTACACCGGTGTCTTGTGAGGTCGCCTGGTTTACATTCCCAAGGGATCAGGGCACAGCGGCGCACGGGCCCTAATCGGATGAGTTGCTTGCATTTGCATTGGTAAAGAAGGGCGGGGAATGCTGCAATGAGGGAGCGTGCTAAGCGCCTGCTTTGCGCGACAAGTATGCCAGCGCTCAGTAAAGCTGAGTTGATTCTCGAAGCAGTGGCAGAGTGTGAGGGTTTAGCGAGAGGGCATGACTATCATCAGCATCTGTGTATCGTGCATGACAAGAGTACATGGGACAACAGTGATCATCGTGTCAGGCACGCAAAGTCGCGATGGTGGTAAGTACACAGGCTGAGGAAGGTCAGGCAAGACGCGGCGTCACGCGTCATGCACGGCTTTGTCTCGAACAGCCATCACGCCATTCCAACCCCGACGTCTGAGGGCCAACAGCGCTGGCCTACTACTAGCGGCCTCGTATCAGAATCGTGGAACCACCGTCTTTTGGCCATGCTCCCTGGAAACTATCTTGCGCGCGCATCTGCGGCGCAACTACTCGCGAAGACTCGGATTGCATGCATCGCGACTGCTTTACCATGGCTGCTCTCTCAAAGCAAGCTCCGTTATAGCACTGAAGCCCCTTTCCGACCAAAAGTACAGTGAGAGCAGATGTTATTTGGAGGACTGTGTCTGACACTGAATTCCTTCAGGCTTCCAAGGCTTGCTAAAGCTCATCCCACTGGCGGTAAATGTGCGGGTTGTGGCGCACTCTACACATTTGGCCTTTGGGCCAAGCACTCGGATGGTGGTGTGATATGTACGCACTTTCAATACTATCTTGAAGTACTTTGCATCGTTGAATACGGCGAAAAGGCCGGCGATGCCAGAACGATCAAGTCGGCTGTACCAGTCCAAATCGAGCGCACCCGGTATGTTATTCAACGTACTTTGTACTGTCTGATATGTACGGAGGGTGCCTACATTACTGATAAGTATCACTCTCAAGGACAGAGCCTGTACGGACTGTGGGTCTGCAAGGACAAGTCGATGGTATTCACATTCGAGTGAAAACGGCGCATTCAGGTGTACGCTCTAGTCCCTCTCAATCACCCACAGTCTTCGCCCACGCAACTCACCAATGTACGGACAGGTACTATTTGTTACGATCGATATACTGTGCGTGTCCCTCATGCGGCCTTATGCGTAACGAATCCTGTGCCAATCTCCGACATTTCAGGCGCAGCGTGCCAACCTCGACGGTCGTGTTTGTCATGACTGTGGAGCAAAACATTCCTATAAGTGGATTGCCCATACACCCAAGGCCAAGAACGGACTATACAGATGTACGATGATACTCGCTAGTTTTCTCGTGACGCTACACTCACACACTGGCTTGACTAGGCGGCTTTTGCAGCAATAAGTTTTATGTGGGACTCTTAAGAGTGTTTAAGCATGTCATATCGTGTATTGAACGTCTTCCACTCTTAGTTAAATCGCAAAAGTCGAGTCTGTCGTGATTGTGGGACAAAGTACACGAGCAGATGGCTTTCTCATCCGAGTGGGGATGGTTCCTTTCGATGTACGGAGGAACTCGCTCGCTTTGGACTATTCGTTGCTGACGTCATCGACAGGCAAGGCCTGCTACATGCGGGAGTATCGCGCACGTTCTCGTGGTTCTATATGTGCAGAGTAGTGACGCTAATGATCGCATATAGCGTGTACGGAAGGTCAGGCAACGCACACCAACAGCCGAGATACCAATCAATGGGAAGACTGCAGGCTCAGGTGTGCTTTGAACTCAGCGACGAGCATGTCATCTACTTGCCATCACCGGACATGGCCTATACCATGCATACGGGTATCGACATGGCTATTGTGAATGTACTCTATGTTGAAGGCAGTGGCAGCGCCGATTGGGTCACACTGACCGGCATATCATGCTCTTGTATGAGTCTTCCTCTTAGAATACATACTCTATGTCAATTATACCCTATAGAGGGTTGATATACACAGGCTACTCGGCTTTCAAGGTTTTCTTCCTGAAAGCTAATACCGTGCTGGATAGTCCGGCTGTTGCGATCATCCCGCTCCCGACGAAGATCGTCATGGCTAAGTGTATCGTCATCAGTAGGGAGACCCAGAGTAACGGCTAGTGAATAATATACCAGTGAATCCATAGCCAGCCCACCCACCAGATCCGGCTCTATCTTGATCGGAGACAGTCTTGGGATGAAGTGCTGCGGCAACGAATGGTCCTGTGATGGCCGCCAGACCTTTCGCGCAAGAAAAGGCCATGAATATAGCAGTGGACTGGTTATCTGCGCAGATATGAGCATTTGATGGACTCGGCACGGCGCTTGGACTGGAGTTTACTGAATAGTTCTGCGGCAGCAGGCAACCATGTAGAGCTGAAACCCCCGCTCTGCAAGATGTTAGCTTGATGTCGATACTCCAACCAGCAAAGTCACTCACTATCCCGCCGAAGAGCACAGCGAATGCATAGATCAGGGCCAGGGAGTGTGCAAAGCCCCAAAGAACGAAACCCAAGATGGCAGATAACATCGACGAGACGATCATAGCGGTTGTGTAAGAGCCTCTGTCGCAGTAGTACCCGACGAGAACTTGGCCGACGACGGCGGCCATGTTGAATGCAGCGAGTGCGAGCGTACCATTCAGGCTTGAGAACCCGAGTGAGGCGGCGTAAGAGGGGATGTAGAGCGATACGGGGAAGTATGAGAGTCCTTGCACGAAGATCGTTACCGCCTGAGTGAGTGTCAGTTTACAGCTCGTTCGTCAACGGACTGGATGACAGGTACTGACCATGAAGATGAACACGGGTGAAGTCACGAATGAAAAGCTCATCGGCGCGGGTGTCGCATGACGAGCAATTGGTAGGCGCGGCTTAGCTCCAAGAAGCGCGAGACCTCCCAGTACGCCGATAATTGCAGCCAATGCGCGCAGCGTCCAGCGAAACCCGACACGTTGTAACAGGAAGTTGGCCAGAATCGGGAAGCCTGCGCCACCCAGTCCAGTACCACCAAAGATCAAGCCTCCGGCCAGCGAGCGGCGCTGTACGAACCATTCCGACAACTGTTCGAGATATCAGGGCTGTGATGAGTGTAAGATTTTGATGAGCTTACCCAACCCACAACGGGCATGTACAACACGCCACCTGCGATGCCATACACGACGCCTTGCAGAGCGATAAGATGCCAAACCTCCGTGGCGAAGCTCGACAGCGTCAAAGCGCCGATACAAACGACCAAGCCTGCGAACATCATGGTCTTGGTCCACTGCGGCCACTTCTGAGTGAAGTATATGACACCAAGTCCCTCCATGTACTGTATCCCAAGCGTGATCGTACCGATAGCATTGACGGCCGACTCGCTGGCGCCGCGAAAGGGCGAATTCGGGTTTGAGAGATACCACTCCTGGAATACACCATAGCTGTACGCGGCTTTTAGAATAAACAGCTTGTGACAGTCGGAGATCTCCCAGACCTTAGAGGGAATCCCCATACCAACGTCTCCAAGATGAATGAACACAGTACAAACTTCCAAGCTTGAGCGCCGTAATCAACCGGGGGAAGCGCGACGGCTTCCTCTTCACGTTCATCGAGCGACACGCTCGGCGATGCGCTGGCCTCTACAGTTGATGGCTCAGCTGATAGGTTGGCATGTATTGGGAGGCTCTGTAGCTCAAACCCGACCTCTCCCGCCGGCAATGCATTGACAGACATCGGCGTGGGATGATGGTGGTGCGAAGCCAACTGTCAGAGGCGCGGCGCCCTTACCCTCCGACTTCGCTGCCACAGCAGTCAGCAGCAGCCACGATAAGATCAGAGTCAAACTGCCCGTACTGCCCGACATGATGTATGACAAGGCAGGACCTCTCGTCTCCCTCCTGGTCTCCAGACACCACCGGCGCCATGTCTTCGACGTATAAACGTCCTGAGCCTCGCGAATGGCAGTATTTTCCTCTTCCACCACTGCTTCCTGCCGACCCGCCGCCTTCGAACCTGCTCAATGCGCCAGAGCTGTCGACATACAGAGCGCCGGCTGACTTCGGAAACAACTACATTCGCAGCACACATATATCTCCCGTCGCATGGCCTCGTAGAGCGCCTTTCGTGCCAACTCCGCCTCACGCGCGCGCGCCCGACGGCGAGAAACGAGATGCAAAGAAGGCGCGGGTCAAGCAAGTCGTGCAAGAGCTCACAGGCACAGGGGAGCAATACGAGAATGGGATGCTCGATGCTCTAGCGGGAAGCGACAAGGTCCTCTGGATGTGTGCGAATCGCTACGCCAGAGCCTCCCGAACGGGTAGCGGTGTTGCCTTAATCTGTCTCCACGCGAATGGCACGCACAAGGTTCGTTTATTTGCTCTGTGGACCTTGCCGGTGCTTATAACTCAACTGTAGGAGTTGTTCGAGCCTTTACTGAGCCGTCTATTTGCGCTGCGCGATGACGTCGACGAGGTATGGGCGCTGGACACAGTTCAACACGGAGACTCTGCGCTACTCAACGAGGACAATGATAGCCTGGGCATACTCTACTCATGGATGGACGGTTCCCGCGACGTGCTTTGCTTCCTTCAGCACTACCTACCATCGGAGCCATGCACCCAACTTCCTATCCTACTCGAACGTGTACCCACCGAGCTTAGTGAACAGCGCGTCACGAAGGGCTTTACAAGGAGGAGGATCATGGGTGTTGGACAATCGTTCGGCGGATGTCTCTTGACACTTGCGGCGCGAGAGGCCCCCTCTCTATTCGACGCGCTCGTCCTCATTGATCCTCTCATCCTGCCTCGCGAGCTTGATGACACAGTCGTCTCATTTCTTCGCGCCTTTCTGGCAGTTGCCGTCGGCCGGCGCAACGATTGGGCGAACCGTGGGGATGCTCTCAAAGCCTTTAAAGCATCTCCTCTAGGCGCGTGGCCCAAAGAAGTACTCAACCTGTACATCCAATATGGGCTCGCCGAACGCTCAGACGGCAGCGTTCGCCTCAAGTGCACTGGACTGCAAGAGGCCGTAGTCTTCGTCGAGGCACGCGGTGCGCATCAAGCCTGGACGGTATTGCCGAAAATCGACGAACGCGTGGCGATACACTGGATCTTGCCGCCGACAGACGAGAGCATAGCTAGGATCGAGGATATTGCGGCTGCGCGTGTTCATCGTCGTGAAGTCAACACGACACACGTTGTGCTTCCTGAAGGGACACATCTCCTCGTGCAGAGTCACCCAGCAGAAGTGGCGGCGGAGTTGAACGAGTTCATGGAGAGATGGAAGCGGCAGGTCGATGATAGCGTAGTACGAACGAAAGCGCGGCTGTAGAGAATCTGTGTGCACAATACATATTCTTCAAAGATAGCTCCGCCACTGTATACGTCAACAAAAGGCTTCAGAGCCTGAGGCACCAACTATTCTCGAACGTAAAGAGCGTAATATTCTCACGCTACCCACTCGCCGTTGCCGGGCGGCACCGTGACGACCTGTTTCTCGCGCTGATCACCCTCGATCCGCTAGCCTCTACAATTGTTGGCCCCGTTGACACATCATAGCGCATTTGCAGGCCGTCGAAGTCATCCGCCTCGGTTATGATTGTACATGCATCAATGCGCGAAGATCATGGCACGGAATTGGCTCGTTTCAGACATCAACTGCTGTACTCTCCATCTTCGGAATATTTCCTACCGACGTCGGTTGAGCTCCAAGCCATGCTATATGTAACCGACAACGATAAAATGCGTATGCTCCATCATACTCTACACAACCCAGGCGGTCTGGCTTCCGACTATGTCTTCGACGTACGCCAAATCCGACCGGAGTCGCGACTGGGAGCCATTTCCTCTCCCACCACTACTTCCCGCAGACCCGCCTCTCCCGGACCAATACAATACGCCGCACTTTATACAACCGTTTGACTTCGTGAAGGGCTATGTCCGTACGACGCACATCTTCCCTGCTGCATGGCCGCGGCACGCGCCGCATGTGCCCACTCCGCCGTCTTATGTGGACACACCCGATGGCGAGGATAGACGCGCGAAGAAGGCGAGGGTTGAGAAGGTCGGGCGCGAGCTTTTGGATCTCGGGGCACAGTACGAGCACGGGAAGCTTGATGCACTGCCGGGTAGCGACAAGGTCCTTTGGATATGCGCGAATCGCTACGTTCGCGAGGCGGGTATGGCGAGGAGCAGTCCAGGAACGACGTTACTATGTCTCCATGGGAACGGAATGCACAAGGTACGTTCTTCATCGCTTCGATGCGTGTCTAGGCTGAGTCTCACGACGTACTGATAGGAACTCTTCGAGCCGATGCTGAGCCGTCTCTTCACGCTACGCGACGACGTGGACGAAGTCTGGGCACTCGATGCAGTGCAGCACGGGGACTCTGCTCTCCTGAATGAAGTCAACGACAGCCTCGGGATCCTCTTCTCATGGTCCGACAGCGCACGCGACGTCCTCTGCTTCCTAGAGCACTACTTGCCGCCAGTCCCATGCACGCACCTCCCGACCATGCTGGAACGCGTGCCATCCGAGCTTAACCAGTTCTGGTCCACCAGAGGTCACCCGGGGAGGAAGGTCATAGGCGTTGGCCACTCCTTTGGTGGATGCCTCTTGACGCTGGCAGCGCGGACGGCCCCCTCCTACTTCGACGCGCTCGTTCTCATCGACCCTCTCATCCTACCCCGCGAGCTAGACGACAAAGCTATGACATTCCTTCGCGCGTTCATCTTTAACGCGTTGGCGCGCCGCGGCACGTGGGAGACCCATCAGGAAGCGCTCGCGGCGTTCAAGGCATCTCCCATAGGCGCATGGCCGGACGAGGTCCTGCAGCTTTACGTGCAGCACGGGCTGACAGATGTCCCGAGCGGCGACGTGCGTCTCAAATGCACACCGTTGCAAGAGGCCGTGGTGTTCGTGGAAGCTAGCGGTGCACATCAAGCTTGGACCGTTCTTCCGGACATCGACGAGCGTATAGCGATGCATTGGATTCTCCCGCCTACCAGCCAAAGTATAGCCATGATCGAAGACATTGCCGCGGCGCGTGTTCATCGTCGACCGAAGAACACTTCGCATGTTGTGCTACCGGAGGGGACGCATCTCCTTGTCCAGAGTCACCCGGACGAAGTGGCGAATGAGCTGAACAAGTTCTTGTCGGACCGGCAATGGCAGACGAGGAAAGTTCAGCCCATGGCACGGCTATAATGATTCAACATGCGCCTGTGCAGCACACGCGCCGCACGGTCATTCTCAACACCATCCGAGCAATGTAAACTACGCATCGATGTTTTCGCGTCCACAATATCTATGCATTCCGTTCGACTACCCTTGTGTGACTCAAGCGCTGACCGACTTCACGCCCTCCTTAAGCCCGACCCACGACTCGCGGCTCTTGATCTCGTTCCACCAGCGCGCAACATTCGGGCGCGAAGACGCCGAGAGACCTTGGTAGTCGATCTGCTCGAGAAGCGTGCCCTCGGGGAGGTGGAACAGGTCTGCGAGCGTGAGCTTCTGCACAGCGCGTATCAGGATCGGCTGTGCAGAGGTCGTAGATGAAGGGACTCACGTCGCCGGCGAGGTACTTCTGCTTGCCGAGGATCACGTTGTACGCATCGAGCTTCCCGTCAAGAGCCTTGACCGCCTCAACATAAGCCGCCTCGTTCGTCTCGAGCTTCTTCATCCTGTCAACGTGATCATCAATGCACCAATCCCATCCCATGGGTGCGATAACGTACGGCTTGAACATCTTCTCAGCCAGCGCAATAGTCGCGAAATGGTCAAAGTTCGCCGTCTCGACGCTCAGCGCCTGCTCGTAGCGGCCGTACGCGCGCACGTCGGACTGCGCGGGCGCGAGGCCGGGGTGCTTCGCGTCGATGTACTTGCAGATCGCGCGGGACTCGAAGATGGTGAAGTCGTCGTCCTCCTGCGTGTGCGCTTGTCAGTGAGCTGCGACTATAGAAAGATGGAGGGGAGGGAGAGAGGGAGGGAGGGGAGAGCTTACGAGGAAGGGGATCTGGCCGAAGGGCTGGTTCTTGAGGTATTCGGGCTGCTTGTGCTCGCCGGTGAAGAGCGAGACGTTGATGAATTCGAAAGGGAGGTTCTTCTCGTGCAGGATGGTCGCGACGCGGAGTGTGCAGGGGGAGGAGGGGAATCCGTGGAGTTTGAAGACCATGGTTGATGAGACTGGTTTGTCGGGAGACGGGTGGAAAGTCGCTGTTGCGATGGTTGGAGTTGTTGGAAGTGGTCTGCATATTGCAGTCCTTTATACGTCTGCTCTTGGACTTGAGAGTCAGCTATGTGTATATCCCAATCGTGTCAGAGCAAGTAGCTTACAGATAGAACGACCAGCGGAATGAATATCTCGTTCAATAGCGCGAACCGATGACCACGTAAACGTGCTGACCTCATGAGAAACGCTCAAAACCTATATCTGCATGCACTCCACTGCACAAGCGCTTTCTGAGCAGAATCAGTAGAGGTTGCAGTTCCTTACGCAAGCATATTTTCTGCGGGAATTTTGGCTGGCCGTGAGGCTCGCAAGAGGCGATTTGTTGAACCGGCGCCGGTCCATGAACCGCGCCTGAGCCAGCACGCGTCAAAGTCGTTGGTCTCCTTCGTCACAGCAGCTCGGAAGGTCAAGTAAGCGCCCAAGTAACCGTCGAGCTCTGACAAGACTGTGATGAGGTTGACTCGTGGATACGCTCTCCAGCTCACGCCACGCGATACTTATGAACACAACTCCAGCACTTCGAGTTGAAAGTGCGCGTTTAAGTTCCGCCACACGTCGAGGTCGTGTCCTTCGACACGTTCTCGGGCTCGACTCCTCCTCGCTAAGTCTAGGCGTACAGATCATACCCGAGTCGATAAGAACATAGTTAGGTGGCCGAGTTGAACTCTACAGGGTCTGTTACGACGAGTTCTTGGCGTAGCGCCCTCCAACTCTCCGCCGCAGATGCGTGAGACATCTCAAGCAGCACTCGCTAGGAATAGACCACGCGAAGTGCATGTGCGAAGAAAGTCGCGCCACAGACGACACAGCGCTGTGAGTCTGTATGCATGCGAAGTGCGAACCACCACCGCAGTCATTTGCGCCCATAGCGAAAAGGGTCCCAGGAGAAGAACCTGAGCCTGTGAGCCCGCGCGGGTCCGTAAGGCGTTAGAGCCGTCTCCATGCGCGAGTTGAGTTTGTGATCTACGCCGAGGGAGTACAGCGCCTGTATTGAGTATAGGAAGACAAAGGCCATTCCTGTCCTGAGCGAGTTCGGGTCTTCCGAATCCGAGCTCGGGCCTCGGTGACAGCGGGAGATGCCGGCACTGACACAATGCCGTCCTCCCGCTCCCTTCCATACGAATTTCACGGGCGACAATGCCGATCGAGCGTGCATACAGAATTTACATAGAGATGCCATCAGAGCGACTCGAGCAGCCGCATTGTGGCGGGCTGCGATAATGCCGAGTTCACATGCGGGGCTAAAGGCTGGCGAGAAGGCGAGAAGGCGAGCGCGGTAGATGGAAGGTGAGATGGAACGATGAGAAGCGGCGATGGCGCGATGGGATGTTGCAGTTGGAATTTGGAAGGGGTGGGCGTCGGGCGTCGGAGGATATCGATGGGTTGTATTGGAGGGCAGAGGGAGCACGCGGGTGACGAGAGCGGAGACGGATTTTCGGGGCGGAGATCAAGCGTTGGCCGACGCCGGCGGCAAAGAGAAAGAAAAAATGCATGTGTAATATAATCTTTGTACGGCTGTAAAAAGAGAAAGAGTATACGGAGAAAGGGTATGTAGAGAAGAAAGAAGCGCTGGGAGCGAAGGCCGAAGAAGGAGCATGGGGAGGGTAAAGTGATCATGGGAGCTGGAGTGTTGGGCCGGGATTGCGGGACCGGGGTCCGATTGGACGGGCGTGACGGTGCTCTGGTGTCGGGCGCGGGGAGTGCCCGGCGAGGCTCCTCTTTCCGCCTGTCCTTGTGTCTGGCGACGACGAGGACTTTGGCGCCACATTGCCTGCTAATATTTCGCTCGGGGCGCGTGATTCTGCGACGGAGGACGGCTACGGGCGCTCGTTTGTGCGCTCTGTGGTACTGCCGTCATTCGAATCAGCGCTGTTCAAGAAGCACAAGAGGCTGGACAGGGCCCTCACGCTTTCCTTCACCCTCACCACCCTCGCCGCCATCACTCTCATGCTCGCCCTCGGCCCCTTCTTCTGGGCGACCGAGGCGGCGCGCGTAGAGCCGCGTTCGGTATTCGTCGCCTGTCTGCTCGTATTCGTAGTCTTCCTTCTCGGTACGTTTCTCTGCCATCGACCATCTATTATCCATCGATCCTCCGCCCTCTTTTCCTCTGCCCCACGATGATCCTCCTCTGGCGCCCGCTCATACTCGCATTCGCAGCCTACCTTTCGAACCCGTCCGAGGCCAGCTTTAGGAGCTACCTCACAGAACAGTCCTTTCGCCAACACCTCTCGCGCCTCGACGACCCGGCGCACGACCCGGACTTCAAAGATCAGGACGACTGCTCGCCCGCATCGCTCGAGCAGGGCGGCTCGGCCGTCCACTTCTCCTCACGTGCCGCCGTCGCGCTCAGGACGCCGAAGCACGCCTTCCACTCGTTCGCCTTTTTCACCATCGCGGCCGTGCTGCCCGGCGGACAGCCCAAGGCCGGGCTGGGCGCGGTGCACACCGCGGCGGAGACAAAGGAGGCGTGGTTCATTGGCGCGTTTGGCAGGTGGTGGAAGGGCGGCTACGTCGACCCGTCGTGGCCGACGCCGGCGGCACCGCGCAAGGGCAAGTCCAGCCAGGCCGACGATGACGCCTGGTCTTCTGGGATCATGGCCCTCAAGGCGCTCGACAGGCATGACAAGCACGACGGTGCGTTTATTTTCTTTGTCTCCGTTTGGAGTTGGACATGTCGCGTTTGGATATGGATATGGACATCGGGCTTCTTTTCCCAATCTCGAAGCGCCAATATTGCCTCGTGGCGCCCACCCGGGGCTTTCTTCGGCACTTCCTTTTCCGATTTGGGTGGAGCGGGTAACTTACTCGTGTGTCGTCGCTACGCCACTTCGTACTCGTTGTGTACTCGTTCTGCCTGGACGACGAGATGGACACTGCCTCATCTACGCGCGCGGTCGCTGCGGCGGCCGCGCCATCTGTTGCAGCGCCCGCCCATCTATCCACCTCCGTATCTGTCGTCTGTCGTTTCCCCGCTTCGTATGCATCACCTGTCCTTCCATCCATCCGTTCCGCGTTTCCCGTATGGAATGACGTTCTGATGCTGACCGCCCATGCCCGCTCGGCTCAGGCCTTCCGCTCCCGGCGTCTTCCGCGGCCCGCAACGCGCGTAACCCGCCCAAATTACGCTCGAGGGACCGCTCGAAGCCTCGACATGCGAATGGACATACGACGCCGCGAAGCTCGACGCCGCCGCCGTTGCCCAAATCGGTCACGCTGCCTTTACACACGCCGAGGAGGAGCAGTAATAATGGGCAGACGCTGACGGTTCCATCACCGCACCACCACGCTTCTTCTTCGAACGGCTCCGCGGCGGATAGGGGTCAGCAGCAGCAGAGCAGCAGTCCCGCGCAGACGCTCAAGGAGAAGGAGGCGGAGTATGCGAACGCGCCGGTTGTTGCGGATCTGCTGTCGAGGATCAAGAACGCGCAGGGATCGAATAAGGAGCTGAAGGGCCAGTTGGCGGACCATGCGAGCCAGTCGGCGCAGGCGGAGAGGTCGTTGAATGAGGAGCTGGCTAGGACGAGGGAGGATAAGCGTGTGGAGGACGCTGCGAGGGCCGAGGCAAAATCTCGTACCAAAGCGTTGGAAGAGGCAAGGCGCGCGGCTGAGGCCGCAAGGCGCGATGCGGAGCGCAGGCTCGCGGGCGCGCGCAAAGTGATTGATGATGCGCGCGCAGTTGTTGGCGCTAAAGAGAAGGAGATCGCGGAGTTTAGAGCGAGGGAGGAGAGCGATAAGATGAAGAAGGTGGAGGTGGAGGAGGAGGGGCGGAAGGAGGTCGAGGAGATCGGGCGGAAAGTGAAGAGGGCGCAGAAGGAGGCGAAGGTTGCGGAGGATGTTGTTGGTGCGCTGGGGCAGAGGGCGAGGGAGCTCGAGGATGCCATTGCGCTTGAGATGGCCAAGCTTGAGCAGGCGAAGGAGAGGGCGAGGCTCGTGCAGCTCGAGCGCCCGCGTGGGTGGATCGATAGGCAGCTGGCGCAGCACGCGCCTGGTGCCATCCCCGTCAACGAAGACGAGCCCATGGACGTCTTCCCTACCCCGCTCGAGAAGGACAGCGATGCTCGTAGCCGGTCATCTGGATCCGGGAGTCGCTCAACCGGCTCCCGTGAAGTATCCGCCAGCCCCGGTCCTCGTCCCAGCCCGCTCAATCTTCGTGCCATCTCCAACATGCCCGATCGCGATACGCGTAAAGGATACACGGTCTTCGACGACGATATCGCTGGTCTTGGACTCGGACTCGGAATTCCTGGTTTGCCCGGATACGCAGGGCACAATGGGCTGTCAAGCCACTCCTCACATGCGCCTGGTGTACCCCACCCGCACCTCTCCGGCCACGCACCGCTCCAAAGTACAGGCGCGATCGATATCCCCAACTCGCAGATGCAGAAGGACTTCGCGGACAAGAACAGTCCCGCGTCGATCGACATGTCCAGTCCTACGGCCGCAGGGCTCATCCCGGGATCGCTCATCCGCTCGCTTGAACGTGGCGAGCCGCTGCCTTCATCCGAGCATGACGATATGGGCATGATGAGCGCGAGCTTTACCAGCGATGGCGATGCGATTCTCGGCAGGGACTGGCGGAACGTCGCGCCCAGCGCCGTCGGTGCGCCCGTAGGCGAGTTCGGACAGATGCAGATGAACCACCGGCCAGTGTCGCACGCCGGGAGCGTAGGATCTATGCACTCCCTCGCGTCCCTCCACTCGAACTCTCGAGCCGGCAGCCTCAGCCACCCGCTCTCCAGCATCCCGGCCTTTACACCCGTCCCCACGCCGCCATCGACAGCACCGATCGGAATAGCGCCCTTCGTCGCGACGCCCTCGACCGGCTCGACCATCTTCGGAAGCGGCAGCGCGCCGAACACCGCGAGCTACGCGTCGACGCTCGCGAGCTCGCCCACGAGCGTCAAGTTCCCGCTCGGCGACGATCAGGATCTCTCGGCCGACTTCGACCCGTTCGCCACGGCCCCGCGGACGACGGTCTCGCTCGACAATCCGGCCCCGAGGCGCTCGATGGAGGCGCAGGTTCTGCGCCCGCCGTGGACGCCGCCGCGGACGCCTGACGTGCCGGCTCCGGTCGAGGGGAAGCGGAGGTGGTGGGGCGCGACGAAGGAGAAAGAGGCGCACAAAGCTGAGAAGGACGCGAGGGATAGGGATAGGGCGCCGGTTAAGAAGGGCCTGAACCCCGACGCGAAGGTGTTCCGCTTCGGACGCAAGTCGGCGCCTGCGTCTACGCTCGCGCCTCCGCCCTCTGTGATCGGCTCCCCGGCGCGGTCGCCGAATATGCCGCACACGCTCGCTCAGCTTCAGCAGCAGCAGCAGCAGCCGTTCGACTCGCTCAACCCCTCCGGCTTCCCCTCGCCCCCGCGCGGCGGCGGGTTTTTGAGTAATCTGAGCCTGCGGGCGTTCGCGCCGAGCCCGGCGGAGCGCGAGGCGCTGAAGCGGGCGCTGGGCGCGGGCGCGGGGAGCGCGAGCGCGAGTTTGGAGCGGTTGCCGAGTTTGGGCGGGGGGTTGGGGGGCGTTAATGTTAATGGGGGGTTGGAGAGGGTGAATGGGAGTCTGGAGAGGCTTGTGGGGCAGGGACAGGGTGTTGAGAGGGAGAGGGACGAGGTGTTT